TGCAGTTCAGGCTGGCTTAAGGTCACTGTGTAGTCCAGGCTGGTTTGAAACTTGAAAAGATCCTCCTGCCTCAGGGTTCCTAGTGCTGACATTACAGGCCTGTGTCACAAAACTCCTGGACACACATTAATCCATTCCACCCAAAGGATGCCCGCATTTCCAGCACTCCGCAGGTTGAGGGAGGAAAGCAACTTGTGTTCAAGGATTTTTGCTCAAGGATTTTTGCTCAATGATGTGACCTCTGTCCGGGAAGCAGGAGGTCCTGAGTTCAATTCTCCATAAAAAGAAAAAGTTGCGCGCTGGTGAGATGGCTCAGTGGTCTAAAGCACCTACTTGGAACAAGCTTGACAAAGCACAGGGACCGCGATTCAATCCCCCAGCACCACATGCCAGCCAGCCCTGCCCCCTGGTGGGCTGAGCTGACCACACACACACACACACACACACACACACACACACATAAATAAATAAAAATTTTTAAAAAAGGAAAAAGCTGGGCCAGGGAGACAGCTCAGTGGCATAAGTGCCTTACCTACCAAGCAGTGTCCTGATTTCAATCTCTGGTACCAAAACAGAGAAGAAAAAAATTGTCCAAGACTAATATTTATTTTAGGGGGACGGAGGAGATGTCTTAGTGGAATAAGTGCTTCCCTGGCAAGCGCAGAGTCTGAGTTCAATCCCCAGTTCTGGAAAAAAAAAAATTGCTGGTACTGGGGAATTGAACCCAAGATTACTCTACCCCTTAGCTACACCCCCAGCCCTATTTATTTCTTAAATTTTTTTTAGATGTATTTGGTACAGCGTCTGCAGAGTCTCACTACACAGATGGCACTCATAGAGATCCTTCTGTTTTCAGACTCCCAAGTGCTGGGACTACAAGGGCGCGCCACCAGGCCCAGTCTCAATTGACATCACAGCATGCCCCAAGGGCGGGGCTGACATGCCAAGCCGGGGATTGAACCCCTTAGCCCTGTGTCTGCCTAAGAAGTATTTCTTAAATTTGGAGACCAAGTCTTGGTAAATTGTCTTGGTAAGGTGGGATCTGAACTTGCAATGTTCATCTCAGCCTCCCTCAGTGCTAGGATTATAGTTCTGGGCCACAATGCCCACTCCAAGTTTCTTTTTTTCCCATACGTTTATTTGTGACAGGGCCAGTTGTGCTGGTACACACCTGTAATCTCAGCACTCAGGATGCTGAGGCTGGAAGAACGCCCAAGGTTTAGGCCAGCCTCAGCCATAGGTAGTGTGTTCAAATCCAACGTGAACCAAATAGTGAGACCCAGGCTCAAAAATATATTGATGAAGGGGCCA